ATTGGTGGTAATGCTGGGGTCCCAACCCCGAAGGCTCCCTCCTGAGCCCACACTCTAGGTCACTGCAGAGTAGATAGAGCCATTGTCACAGGGAGTCTGTGAAATAGCAGCAAAAGAGGTTCTCACAATGGGAAATATCTAGAAGCCACTTCTTTAAGAGAAAAACAGGCCCAAAGAGTGTAATGATCTGCCCCAGGTCATAGAGCCAGTTCCCTTGCTTCCAGGACACTGGGGCTTTCTTGCAGTGAGGATGCGGCAGGGAAGGGGGCTAGGAGCCTCAGTTCACGGGGCTGGGAAGGTGCATGCACATCACACAGTATTCTAGAATTGGCCAAACCGTGTGCCACCAGAGGCAGAATCCCAGCTCCACACTCAGCCCAAGTACAGCCTTGTCTTTTTTGTTTTTTTTTTTAAGGATTTTATTTATTTATTTGACAGAGAGAGAGCACAAGTAGGCAGAGTGGCAGGCAGATGGAGAGGGAGAAACAGGCTCTCCACTGAGCAGGGAGCTTGATGTGGGGCTCGATCCCAAGACCCCAGGATCATGACCTGAGCCGAAGGCAGCCGCTTAACAAACTGAGCCACCCAGGTGCCCCCAAGTACAGCCTTGTCTTAAGGTGATTCTCAAAGTGTGGTCTGGGGACCCCCTGGGATCCCAGAGACTTCAGGAGTCTACAGGGTCAAAATTATTTTCGTAAGAATAAGGTGTTATTTGCCTTTTCACTCTCATCTTCTCACATGTGTCCAGGGGAGTTTTCCAGAAGCTATGTGACAGGTGATGACAGTACACCAAAGGTTGATGGGGGATGCGAACTGGCATATTTACATGTTTGAACATTTTCTGCGGTGTTTTTTTTTTTAAGATTTTATTTATTTGAGAGAGAGAGCACACGGGGGAAGTGACTGAGGCAGAAGGAGAAGCAGGCTCCCTGCTGAGCAGGGAGCCTGATTCGGGGCTCGGTCCCAGGACCCTGGGTTCATGACCTGAGCCGAAGGCAGATGCTTAACCAACTGAGCCACCCAGGTGCCCCTAACATTTTCTGTTTTGATTTCTGATACAGTAAATAGCCGTAGAATAACACACTTAAACAAAAGCTCTTTGGAGGCCTCAATAATTTGTGAGAGTACAAAGGGAATCCTGGGACCAAAGCACTCCAGAACCGCTATTCAGAGATATTGGACCCAGCAAGGGGGAATCTCGGTGGCAGAGGGGCCGACCAAAGGGGTTTCCTTCAGCCATGCCCCCACCCCCTCTGGCACAGCAGACACCTGCCCTGGCAGTGAAAGGCTTGTGGCCAAGCAGCCTAGAGGAATGGCAAGAAGAGAAAAACCGCCTTTTTCTTTGGGAGGGGACCAAGCATGGGGGCAATGCAGATGTCCGACATTCCCAGCCTCGCTCCTCTGGAGCCCTCTCCCCCAGCAGGGAGGAGGCACCTGCGGCTGGTACGGATGGGAGTTTTTACAGGGATTTTCCAGAACGTCCAGGAATACAGGCCAGCTTCTCAGCATGTCCAGTGGGCTACATGAAATTACCAGAAAGGAAGTAGTAGCCTGGAACCCACAGGCCAAGGGAAGGATGTTACTGAGAAAGCCCATGAATTGCTTGTCCCATTATCTTCCCATGGACCACAGGGGGCTGGGTAGGCCAGGGAAAAGGGCCTGAAGAGGTCAGTGTGGGGACTGGCACCGCCTTGTTTGTGGACAGGTGGACACCGGCCCCTACCGCAGAGGTGGAGGGACACACTTAACCCTGGAGGATTTCTGTATGTTGAGAATATCTAGTCAGCGTTCAGTTCAGGAAACAGAAACCACTCTAGGTATTTTAAGCAGGAAGGGATTTAATGCAGGGAATTAGATGCCAATAGAATCATTGGAAGAGCTCAAGGAGCAGGTTCAAGGCCAAGCCTCCAAAGAGATACCAGACTCCTCCAGCGGGGGGGGGCGGGGGGGCGGTGCTGCTTCTTCTGAGACATGCCCTGGAAATGCAATTCCGATTGAAGCTGGAATCAAGACATTTTTGTGGTTGCTTTCAGGAGCACTACCACGGCATGGCCCCTGAAGCACTCGGGAAGGTAGAAAATGGACACTAGAAGGGTCTGTAAGAAAAGAAAAAATAGACCTCATGTCTCATGACCTGGCTTGCTAGCAGAAACAAAGGTGGGCTCGACCTCACACCTATTCACCAGATCTCATGCAGCTGCATCTTAATGGAGAAACCTAATTTGCCTCCAGAACCCTAGCTGCAAAGGAGTCTGGGAAATGTAGTTTTCAACGTTTTATGTCTCCAACAAAGATGGGATAATGGAGGCTGAATGAGCCAGTCCCCAGTACCTGCCCACCAAGGTTATCAATGCTGTATTTTTTCATCTGCCAAGTTCTGAGAGGCCTGGAGCATAATGAATCACAACACCATCTGATTAGACTTGGTGATTCCCCAAGTTCCCTCCTGGATTTCCCCTAGTGCAGCTGGGAGATGCTGCTTAGAGCTTCAGTGTCCATACTTGGCACTTGGTCTTGGCTGTTGGCCACAACATGGAAGAGTGGCTGGCAAATCCACGAACTATCTTTTCATTTACACTTCAGTCCCAATGCTGGTGGTTTAGATAAAGCCTTCCCCTTGGATCAGAAGGACTGATATATATAGAAATATGTGTCTGAGCTTGCCTTCTAGCATTGCAATGTCAGAATTGGAAAACCCAGGACTATTTGGGGAGAATTCAAATGAGTATTTATAATCAAAGTTCTATAAACAGAGGAGGAGTTCACAAATGGCTTGTTGTTCCTTCCTACATTCTATAAGCTCCCCCCATAGAGTCCTGGCTTTCCCCACTCTAGCAAGTCAGCACTATGCCCTTGAAAATTATATGCCATTCTTTTCTGAGCAGAAACAGGAGTTGGTCCAGAAGTGAAAACTTAGATCCATCATAACAAGTTCCTGATGCTCAGCCATACTTTTAGTCATTTGGCCAATGTTTATTGAGGACATATTGTGTTCAGGCCCCATGCTGGGCATACTTGGGAGTACGCAGACATGAGCTGGCCATCGTTCTTGTTCTGAGGCACAGTGGGTCTAGTCAGGAAGATGAGACACATTCATTGATGGAAGAGCAAGTTCTAAGGGATCTCGGAGCAGGAAGAGATTATTTTCTTCGGGGAGAGAGGATCTGGGAGGGCTTCTGGAAAGAGAAGGTATTGGAACTGAGCCTTGAAGGATAAACAGGATCTGGATGGGCAGAGGTGAGAGCAGGTTCATTCTCTTGAGGAGGTAGGGAGGGCAGGGTGGGTGAGAACCACAGGCGCCTGGTGGTCTGGTGTGTCCTGGTAAAGGATATGAGCCAGGACTGGAAATGAATGGGTTGGGGTGACATCCAGGGCACTCTTGAAGGCCAAGACCATCCAGGCTTCCCCCACCCGTGCCTCTCCTCGCCAGTCCAATTAGTACACTCAGACCCAGATAGGTTTTCTGAAATGACGGAACCAGAAGATCAAAATAACTTCCAAATGAACCACCTTCAAGATCGCATCTGCTTATTTTGTTGAAAAATAAATAAAAGCATCCTTTCCCTCAAGGAGAGAAGCTCTTCAAGTTCTGACGATTTCCTGAGTGGAAATCTGAGACAGTGATCTGAGGGTCTCTCGTTGATTCCAGTTGACTGACTTAGTGGCTGAGGAGAGAGAGCGGAGGTCCTTTCCCTGGTCACAGTACCTCTCTGCACGTCTGGGGCAAGATGGCGGTGACAGCAGAGGCCTAATGCTCAAGGAGCCCAGGGCGTCAGAGGGAGTGGGGTGTGGAGGAGTGGCAGGTATCAGGAGGGCGGAGAGCACACACAGGGATGGGAGGCCGACTCGGGCTGTCCTTAGAGAGAACAGCCACAAGGGGCAGGGTGCCAGGGCTGCCTCATCCTTGTGACCGGGCAAGGAAAGTTCTGGGCAGAGCAGGCTGGTTGTCCATTGAGTCATACAGCCAAAGACGGGCCGTCAGGGTGGCCCGAAACACTAAGATGAGTTGGACTGTGAGGAGGTCTCCCAAGACGGCCTTCACCACAGGAGACTTGCCAGAACTGATAGAGGACAGGAGGAAAGCCTCTCTCAGTAGCGAGCGGACCGCGCCTCCCCGCCTCCCCAGTGGTAACCCAGATCAGGCGGGATGGGGCTGGGACGGCCTGGGGCAGGGAGAGGGCGGGCCCCTGAGCCGCCGTGCCGGCCGTATTGCTCAGTGCCAGGGGGCACTAGTCCCATTCCGCGTGAATGGCGCCCCCTGGTGACATATGGACTACCTCCTGAGTGGTGCCCCCTGGAGTTGGCAACTCAGAGGCCTTGCCCAACAGCAGTCTCTCCCTGCTTCCACCTAGTGCCCCATGTGGCTGTGGCCCTGGGTGTTTAGTGTTAGGCCCCGAGACAATTGTCCCCGTAGGACGGGGAGCACCACGCTGAGGCGGCTCCGGCCTGCCACAGGAAGTGACGTAAGGCCCACCTCAGCCCAGGTGCAGGGTGAGGAAGGGGCAACCGTGAGCTGTGTGCCGTACATCATCTCACACAGCTCCACGACAGCCCCTCTCACAGATGGAAGGAGCATGCTCAGGCCACGCTGGTCTGTGGTGCTGGAGCACAGCTGCTCGGGCAAAGCTGGGGTGGGTGCCTGGGTCTGTGGGACTCCTGCCCCCGCACGCCCCCCCCCCACCACCACCCAGGAGGCAGTCTCCCCTTCTGCGGAGAGAGACCCGGAGACCCCGTCCGAATTCAGGGCCCCCCCTCCTTGACACACTGGCAAACGCTTCCTTTCACTGGTCACCTAAGGCCCTCGGGTTCTGCCCGTGGCCCAGGATGGGACTTCCTCCTGACTCCTGACTGTATCTGTGGAATGGGACAAATCGGGGTCTCTGAGGACGAGGAGCATGCCCTCTCCGCACCTCACCGCCTCTGTAGCAGGTCTCGGGGCATGCGTGCTGGCGGGCGCGCCCCACCAGCCTGACCCCCCCTCTCTCTCTGCTGCCTCCCAGGCCCTTCATGCTGCTGCCGCCGCTGATGGAGTGGATGCGCGTGGCCATCACCTACGCAGAGCACCGCCGCAGCCTCACCGTGGACAGCGGCGACATCCGGCAGGCCGCCCGGCTGCTGCTGCCTGGCCTGGACTGTGAGCCCCGCCAGCTCAAGTACGGAACCGGCGAGGCGTGAGCTCGCGTCCCGCCTCCCTCCCCGGGCCATTGCGGGGGCGGGGGGGCCCTCCCAGGGCGTGCTCTGTGCGCGCCGTGTCTGTTAGACGGATCATTCCAGACCCAGGCTGCTTTCCGCTGGTCACGAAGCAGACACACATTTGGATCTGGGCAGGAGAGCCCTCACGGGCTGGCTCTGTGGGATATTTGGGGGGGGGGTGGTAATCAGCAAAAGCAGGTCCTTCCTCTCCTCTGTTCCTATACTTGCCACTATTTTTTTTCAACTATTCGTTGGTGTAGGCGCTAGGCTGCGCCCTTCCTTTGTACATGCGTCATCTTGGTTCTCATGACAACTTTAGAGAAGGAGGGGCTGTAATGCCCATGTTACAAATGGGGAAACTGAGCATCAGGGAGGAATACTAATTTGTCCACAGATACTCAGCTAGCCAAGTGCCTGAATTTGAACCCAGGTCTGGGTTCTTAACTTTGGCCCCAAGCCTGGGCTCTTAACTTTGTCCCAGCATGACCGTCTTATATTGGACTGGTCTCCTGAAGTCCGTCTGGAGAATGTTCTCCGTGGCCATCCTTGTCGTATGAGAGACTTGCCTTTTTTTTTTTTTTTTTTTTTTGACCCTTTGCCCCAACCACAGTTATATCCTCCTCTGTCTCAATGGCAAATTCCCAAATGTCATTCTGGGACGTGAACTTTCCACACTTTGTCTCCAGGCTGAAGCCCCCTGTGGGAAGCCTGTGGTGTGCCGTCTCATAGATGTAGTTTTTAATCTGTGACTCTCGGTGGTGGGATGGCTGGATGGCAGTGGGATTCTGGGCTGTTCTCCACCATCTGTTTGGTAATTCCGGGCCTCCTCGGGAAGCCCTTGAGGAGAGAGGATGTAAGCCAGGAACTGGAACCGGGCCACAGTGGCCGTCCTCTAGTCCGAGGGTGGTCTTCGCCTTGCAGAAAGCACACGGGCGAGCACCGTGGCCCATGTCCGGGCTGGAGCTGCGTCCTGCTCAGGCAGAGTCCCTGGTGGGTTGTTCCTGAGGGGACTTCATTTCCTGACAATGGACAGCTCCGAGCTCTTCTTTAACGTGTTTGTAGAAGAGCAGACGTCTGTGCTCACATCACTGAGCATGACAAGGCCAGTTGCTGCCGATGGAACCGAAATTCCCCGTCCTTCCCCTCCACCCTGTCGTCCTGCCCCCCGTCAGCCTCACCTCCTTGAGAGGCGCTCACACACAGTCCTGCTCACACACCTGCGGGTCTCATCTATGCAGACCCGAGTGCTGCTTCAGCTCCTTCAGGAGGCTGGACGCCCGAGCAGCCACCGAAAAATTCAACCAGGACCTGGGCTTCCGCATGCTCAACTGTGGCAGGACAGACCTCATCAACCAGGCCATCGATGCCCTGGGCCCAGACGGGGTGAACACTATGGACGACCAGGTGCGTGCGGAGAGCTCCGCTAGCCAGGTGCGGGGGACAGAGGCGGGGACTCGCCATGGCGAGAGAGGGTGGCACAGTCCTTCCGTTCCAAACCGAGAGCCGCTCCACTCGGTGCTTCTGAGGAGTGGGCAGCCTCCCGTTGCTGGTGGGGCATCAGCTGGAAGACTTTCCTAGCGCCGCTGGGGAAACCTTTGTAACAGAGATTCTGCTTCCACTGGCTGGAAGGCCAAAGACTGTCCCGGATGGTGCAGGGCTGGGAAGAAGTCTGGAGGAGTCCCAGCTGAATTTCCAGCTGTGAATACTAGTCACTGGGGTGTGGGCCCTGGGCGCCTCGTGTGCCTACTCTGTACCAGGCCCACAGAACCTGCTGCTTTCATGGAGTTAACGTTCTAGTCGGGGAAACACGCGCTAAGAAATAGAAACATAAAATACAGAGTATGTCCGTGAAAAGTGCTAGAGAGTAAAATGAAGCCGGAAAAGGAAGCATTAGAAATGATTTACAATTTTAGATAGAATTTAAGGGGTTTTGTTTGCTTTGTTTATTGTTTTTGCTGTGAAGAGCTAACATTTGTAGAGCATTGATATGTTCCAGGCACTGTTCAAAGCGCTTTGCCCAGATGAACTCATTCAGTCTTGACAGTGGCCCTAGGATGTCATGCTATTATTATCCCCATTTTATAGATGAGGAAAACTGAGGTACAGCAAAGTTGGTTTACCTGAGGTCACACAGCTAGTATGGAGCAGAGCCGGGGTTAGAAGCAGTCTGACTCCAGGCTCTTCACCACTATGGGCTGTCCAGTTTGTTTGTCTGACACCAATCTGTGCATCCTCGCCATGTAGGTGATGGCTCTGTGGTTTGGAAGGCCACGCGGATGCGGGGGGAAAGCTCCGTGACAGCAGAGGGCTTGGGTGGAATGCTATCCCATGAGATGCCAGCACGGGACAGGGCGTGCTGAAGTGCCAGGTCAACCACGAGGCCAGGGTGGACCTGGACAGGTGACAGGTCGAGCAGAACGGCTGGGGAACAGGGCCTCCGGGGGGGGGGGTGTTGAGGCAGAGAGTGGTGGGGCAGGCACTCCAGGGAGAAGAGATGACCCGGAGCAGGAGCACGGAGCTGGGACAGTCAGGGCATGGGCTGGGCCAGCATGGAGGACACAGGCTGGGTGCCGGACCTCCCTGGGGTTCCTCTGTCAGGGCCAGTCCCTGGGCCTTGCAGGGGCTTTCATCCTGGGGCGTCCTCCCCCTGCCCGGGGTGCTGGGGTGAGGTCCGAGCCATCCACCCAGTCACAGCCATGGCATCTTGGACAAGCTTCCCCACCTCCCTGAGGGTCACCTTCCTCGCTTCCATCGAAGGCGGACAGCAGTCCCTGCCCCGTAGGGTTCGGGGACGCTTCTGCATCTGGCACATAATAAAGGCTCAGTAAGTGTTCTTCTGGGTTTCGCTGTCCATGTGATGACAGCGACCATTAGCCGTGAGCTCTGTTCATCAGCCCTTCATGCTTTTCCTTCCCTATGGACCTGGAGTGGGGGGCGGGGGGGCTGACACAAAAAACACTCCAAGCCAATGTAAACACTGGACCATGTACAGACGTGTAGAGAACAAAGTCAAGCAAGTGCGGAGGGGGCTGAAACCAAGCCAGAGCCGCCCTCGGCGGCACTTGGCTCTTCTCTGAATACTCGATCCTGTTTGTGCCTTCGGCCTTGGTATTTATGGGACGATCTGTGGGTAAACAGCTCTTTCGCCCATGATTAATGTCAGGCCATTTCTTTATCTCTGGGCACTAGGCAGGGATTTATGAGGTAAGAAGATCTTGTCTACACACAAATAACCTAATAAATAACATCGCAGGGCTCCAGACACACACTCGCCAGGATCCAGCTGTGGGATAACACTTTCCACTGCCGCTTTTGCTATTACTGGCCCTGGAGAAAGATTCCCAGCCAGGAGGCAGCCCGGCGAGCCGTCCACCCAAACTCGGGAAGGGACTGGGCCTCTGCTTTCAGGAAAGCTCTGACTTGCTCAGTAGCACAAGAGATCCGAGTCAGACCCCTGTCTGCGCTCTGTGAGCTGCCTCTGAAGGGGAGGAGCTTCACGGCTCAGGTGGATCCGGGGTCCCGTGCGAGATCTTCCTCCTCCTTGTGTGACCCGGCCTTGGGTCTCTCAGCTCCTCGTCTGTAAAATGGGGATAATAATAGAGCCTCCTTAATAGGGATGTTACGGTGATTCGATGAGATGTTGCATGTAAGTCACCTCACGGAGGGACTTAGGGGCCCAGGGCCTGGGGCGGGTTAGGATATGGCAGGCAGTATAACACCGGGGCAGTGATGGGCTCGCTGCGTTCTTGTGATTCCTTAGCTCTTGAGGTCAGCTTCCTCTGCGCTAAGCACTTGACACATGGTCACTCGTCTTCTTCACAACAACCGTATGAGCTAGATACTGTTGTTGGTCTCATTTTAAAGAAGAAACTGAGGCACAGAGAGAAATGAGTGACCTGGACATGGTTTACTGCTCCCCATGGCAGAGGGGGCTTTGGGGCCCGTGCTCCTCACCCCTCTGGTGTCCCACAGTGCTTCTGGAAATGGCCCCTACTCAGGCCTCACGGGCTGCATGTCCAGTGTACCCGGAAGGGGCAGGAGGGCGAGCCACGATGCAGGGCTGCTCTGGATGAGCAGCCGAGTCAAGCAGGAGCCCGGACTGTGGTTTCTGGCACAGACGCCTTGGAATACGTGGCACTGCGTCCATTCCCAGATGGTTTAGCATCAACCTTTGCTTCACATAGGGTCTGACGCCGCTGATGTACGCCTGCGCAGCCGGGGATGAGGCAATGGTCCAGATGCTGATTGATGCGGGAGCGAACTTGGACATCCAGGTGAGCAGCCACGGCGGGGCGCCTGGCCAGCAAGGGAGCACCCCACGGTCTCCAGCAGCTGCGTTGGGTGCGGTATTTGGAGGGGTGGGAATACAGATGCACAGAGATAACAGTGAGCCAGGAGCGCTTTTCCTGGCGCGTGGGCTTCCTGTCTGAGAGCAGGGAGCTGAGCGGAGAGCATGGGCCCTGTTCTGTTATGGCACAGTCTCGTCCCTGCCGTGTCTGTACCCAGGGCAGGCAGCGCCAGCCGATCCTCCTGCTGAGCCTTGTCTACGGGGTGCGCCACACAGACGTGACCAGTTGAACAGAAAGCACTCGGATAGGCTCCTAGTCACCATCCCTGCAGGATGCCCCCCTCACTCCAGTGCCCGTGTCACCTGCCCAGGAATGGCACTCACCCAAAAAAAAAAACGGATCCTTTGTGGGATTTTCCAGGTTCCAAGCAACTCTCCCAAGCACCCCTCCATCCACCCCGACAGCCGGCACTGGACCTCGCTGACGTTCGCTGTGCTGCATGGACACATCTCTGTGGTGCAGGTGAGCTCCTGCCACGTGTGCAGCGAGCCCTCGCTCGCCAGGGGCCTGGGCCCTGAATGTAGCCCTGCCTGCCTGGAATCAGAGAGGGCAGAGGAGCTGCTTCAGGCCGTGCACTGGGTCAGCAGGATAGACCCCGCCCCCCGGTTTCCCTCAAGGAGAGGGCTTTAGCATAAGGATGCGTGTGGAATCTTGGGTAAGGAGCCCAGGTCCGAGCAGTCCCAGGCCTGCCCGGCTTCTCTGTATCTGTCCGGCAGTCTCCGGGTGTGCTGGAATCGGCACGTGTGCTCCACTTCCTCTCCTCTGACCATCTTTCCCAGCCGTAGCCCTTTCTGCTCCCCCATGAATGGTCCCGCAGAGCCGGCCCTATATCAGGGCGTCCTGGAAGGGGCAGGAGGGCGAGCCACGATGCAGGGCTGCTCTGGATGAGCAGCCGAGTCAAGCAGGAGCCCACCCCCGTTAACAGGCTTAGTCTTTGCATGACCCAGGTCCTGAGAGAGGACTCAGAGCGGCTCGGCTCACCTGTCCAGCCAAGTCACGCCGTGTGGTGCCCACGGTGGCCCAGGTAGCTGTGACTGGTGTAAGGGTGGGGTTCAGGCCCAGAAGCAGAGCCAAGCAGTGGCCCACCCCAGGTAGGGCACTTGCCACTCAACTCCCAGACTCCTTTGCTCCTCAGGCCACTGGGGAATACGGGGTTGCACACTCCTTCCTGAGAGTTCATGTATCACCCTCGCAGACTGTCTGCTACACCTAGCAAGTCCTCTGAGGGCAGGGGCCGTGTCCAGTCTGTTCATCAGCAGCAGCACGGCCCTGGCCTGTTGTAGTGACTCAGCAGATGGTCTGCACCAGGCCAGCTGCCGTCCCCCGCCTGCTTGCTGCTTGCTGCCCTCCTGAGCACTGAGCAGAGTTCCGGCCTAGCCCAGACCGGCCGGCAGGGCCATGCTCTGGACCTGCCTGGACCGGCGCCCAGTTTCGCCCCATCGGGTGGGCCTCCACCTCCCCCACCTTGGCACACCGGCTCTGATGGCAGTGCCACAACTGGTTTCTGACTGACGAGAGCCTCCAGCCAACAGCCGTTCCCCACTTCCCACACACTGGGGCACAGGCTTGCAGGTCAGCCTGCCCGCTTGTGCCTGGTCTCCAGGTATAGGGCTGGCGGGGTTTCCCCTAGGTTTGGTGTTCCAGAAATCCGGGAAGGATCTAAGTGCTCCCTCCAGAGCAGCCGGTCAGGAAAGGTGAGGTGCAGCCCAAAGTCACCTGTTAGAGCAGCACAGACACCACCCCTGCCCCAAGGCAAAGCCAGGCCCGGCTCAGCTGGAACTGCTTGGCGTCTGTTAGCCCTGCGCCATCTTGCCCTTGCCAAAATGGAGAGAGGCGTCCCGGACAGCGAGGTCTTGCCCTGGGCCTATGCCTCCCAGCCTTGGGTAGCTTGCCTGCCAGACCTCTCCAGGGAGACCATTTGAAGCCTCTGGTTATTAAATCCCTGTGGTGGGTTGAGCACCATTTCATTTCATGCCCAGTATGGCGGCAAGGCAGGCCTCTGGCCCTTTTTGAGATGAGGGAGCCTGGGGCTTCAGGAGCTGAGGTTCGTGCCCTGCCCCAGGTCACTCTCTGGTTGGTGGCCAGCACTGACACTCAGCTCTTTCTGACTCTAATACCTGTGCCTTTCCCACTACCTCTGCTGCCCCCCAGAGCCTCAGTTTCCCCTGGTAGATTGGGGGCGATGCAATCAATTCGTAGGAAAGTGTTTGTTTGAAAGAAAAAGACAGCTCAGAGGTCCCCACAGTTCAGGGCCTTGGTCCAAAACCACAAGAGTAGAGGTGAAGATTCTAGAAACTTAAAGACCTGAGGGTAACTTCAAGTTCCAGAGTTCAGGTTCCTCAGCTGCCCAGGTGAGCTGGATCTTGGTCACATGCCTGGAGGGAACCAGAGGCCCTTCCCCCAAAGCCTCCCGTGCACACCTCCCAGACACTCCCTGCCACACTGACGTGTCCTGCTCCATGTCCTGCCCTATGCCCTGCAGCTGCTGCTGGATGCCGGGGCCCACGTGGAGGGCTCAGCGGTGAGTGGCGGTGAGGACAGCTACACGGAGACCCCCCTGCAGCTGGCCTCTGCAGCTGGTAGGTATACAGACAGCTGCCCTGCCCAGCAAGGGTCCCCCGCTGCTCCAAGCCTCCGCCTTGCCCTCCCTGTGGCATCATTCAGCCTGGCGGGGCCTGCAGCCGGACTTGCGGCCACATGCCCAGGTCCCTGAGGTGAGCCTGGAGACCTCTCCTTTTGGCCTCTGGGGGCTCCCTGTCGCCCCATTCATCAGCATTTCTGTGGATTTCGGCAGCCAGGCGGCAGCCCGTAGAGGCACACGATGATGTGGGTGGTGGGAGCATCTTCCCTCTGTCTGCCTTGTCTTCCAGGGAACTATGAGTTGGTCAGCTTGTTGCTGAGCCGAGGCGCTGACCCCCTGCTCAGCATGCTCGAAGCCAATGGCATGGCCTCCTCCCTCCATGAGGATATGAACTGCTTCAGCCACTCGGCCGCCCATGGTCACAGGTACGCACCTGGGGTTCCTGCCCCGTGTGAAGTGGGAGCATGAAACAGGCTTTCAGTAGTCCGAGTCCCCCATGGGGAGCAGGAGAGCTAGAGATCTTTCCAGATGGGGGTTCTGTGTGAAAGTCATCTAGAAAGAAGATACAGGTCTTCAGCCAGCAGAGAGGCCTCAGATGTTGGAGGCCCTGAGACTCTGGGTGGCGGAGACGGCCCCCTTGCGTGGAGAGCCCCCCCCCCCCCCCCGCTGTTTCCTGGTGGAGCTGGGACTGCAGCCTGGGTCTCCCTACGCCTGGGGCAGGCCTTCCCACTTCCCGTAGACTCTCCCCTGCCCGTCAGCCCACCCTGGGGCCACATCCCTTCCCGCACTTGGTGGTTCTTTTCCAGGGCTCCAGGGGCTTCGCACAGCATATGGCTTGGGGGCGATGCAATCAATTTCGTAGGAGAGTGTTTGTTTGAAAGAAAAAAACAGCTCAGAGGTCCCCACAGCTCAGGGCTCCTGGCGGCTGTGTGAGAAATCACATCCCATTTCCAGGAGCAGATGGTGGACCTTGCTTTGTGGGAGCCAGGCCTGCCCAGGGGTGTGACAGGGAGGGCAGCAGGCTGCGACCAGAGCCATCCAGCAGCTCTGGGGGCAGAGTGAGACAAGAGAGGCAGTTATTAGAAGCCAGAAAAGGGGCCAGAAGGGAAGAGCAGGGTGGGACAGCTACTTCCTGTTCTCCAGCACCATTCTCGAAAAGCAGAGAGTGCCCTACTGTGGCCCCCTCCCTAGAATGCTTTCCTCTACAGCTTCTGCCACCTAAATCACCCTCCCCTCCGCCCCCCAGTACTGTACTGCACATCAGTGCCACTAGGCCTTTTCACCCAGCCAGCGCCCCGTGTTTTCCCCTGTTGCAGCCTCTTCACCCTGTGCGGACACACTCTCCACGCACCTGCTTCCCATTTTCTCTCTGGAACACGGGATTTAGGGGACAGGGGTGGTGGCCGGCTCACTTTCCCATGCCCGCACACGGCACAAACGAGGTGCTCTGTAAGCTCAATGAGCTAGCAAAGCGACAGTGGGATGACCCCGGGTCTCTCGAGGGGGGTCTCTGCCCGACGCAACACGACCTCCATCAGAGCGGGGAATGGGCTGGGCAGGGCTGCTGGGAGGAGGCGCAGCCTCCAGGTGACCTGTGGACCTGCTCCCCGCTGCAGCCATCCCAGGCCACAGGATGTGACAGAATGAGCCCGGGGTATGGAACCAGCAGTCCTGGGCCTGAGTCCGCACTCCTGCCTGTGTGACCTAGAGCATGACACAGTCATCGGCCATGAGCGGTGGGGTCCACAGGCTCTCGCAGGGTTAATGCAGCAGTAGACAGGAACGTGGTCTGTCAAGTCCAACATTCTACACACGGGAAGTCCACGTAACCGGCATCGTGACTTCAGTTCGTCCTTGTTCATGGCGGGCTGCGACTCAGAGGCATATGAGCATGTGCTGGGTTTCAGACCCTTCCCGCAAGTGCAGGTGGCTGCCGTCTCAGGGTTCTGCCATGCATCAGGCCCTACACCCGATGCCGTCACGTTGGCCTCCCGTTAACCCAGGATGAGGGTGACACGGGTACCCCGCTTTGCAGATGACAGAGCAATCAGGGCACAGAGAGGCAGAGCAACCTGTCTGAGATCACACAGCCAGGATGGCAGGGCCGGTTTGGCCCCAAGGCCCATGACTTAGTAGTACCAGGATGGTGGCGGCGGGGGGGTGGGGGTGTCTCCCCAGGGCCAGTCCACCCGTACCCTCCCCTGCCTCTCTCAGATGGCTGCAGATGGAGGGTGCTGGGAGCCGTGGCCCAGCCTGCCTGGGAGGGGAAGACCGTGAGCCCCTAGTGCCCACGGGTGCCCCATAGCAGCCCATCTAGGCCACGGGGCTCAGGAGGGCACCTCAGGCGGGCACCGTCCACGGTGAGGGCCTCAGGCATCCCCGTCCTCCATCCCTTGGCCCGCAGGAACGTCCTGAGGAAGCTCCTGACGCAGCCCCAGCAGGCCAAAGCAGACGTGCTGTCCCTGGAGGAGATCCTGGCCGAGGGCGTGGAGGAGAGTGACGCCTCCAGCCACGGCAGCAGCAGCGAGGGGCCCGTGCGGCTGAGCCGGACCCGCACGAAGGCCCTGCAGGAGGCCATGTACTACAGCGCCGAGCACGGCTACGTGGACATCACCATGGAGCTGCGGGCGCTGGGTGAGGCCCCGCGGGCGTGCACACGCGCCCACACGCGACACACGGGCACTCTGCTACTCTTTTAAGAGCAGACTGGAAGAGGGCCAGGGCCCGCAGGGGTGGCCGGGCACGGGGCGGACTCCGCCCTGAGCCTCAGACGGTCCTCCGCGGGGATGCGTCGGGGGGCATCGCCCCAGCCCTCCAGCCTCGGGCCCTTCCTCCTCCCTGGGCGGAGCCTCACGGCCCCTGGCCTGGCCGCGGCCTGCGATGTGCAACCCTGGGAGCATCTGCCTCACTATGGTAAACATTTCTGGTCAGCTAGAGGCTCTCCTGTCACTTGGCCACACTCGTTCGCTCCTTGGGTCTGCGAGTCTGTGGACGCTCCTTCCGGCGGGGAGGCCGCCCAGACAGGCAGACCTGGGCCAGATCCCAGCTGTTCCACTGTCACTGGCGCTGCCGATCCTCGTGTAAGACTGTGAAGTCACACGAGGCCCAGGGCCTGGGGCCAGCTCTCCGTGAGCTCTGCGTGCACGATGGCAGTGTGGAACGTCCTGGTGGCCGCCACACTTGCAGCCAGTCAGGCTCAGTGTTCCTCACTGTAAATGGGTATATCGTTCCCAGCTACAGTCAGAACACCGAGGATGCTAACGCCACCTACGTCACTGTGTCCCTGGGGAATGCCATCGTCCTCTTTTTACTCCATAGTGAGGCTGGCGGGGAGCAGCTTGCTCTGTAATTACCAAGGAAATTACTAGCTTTTGTCATGACCTCCACAGAGTAGTTTTAAGTTAGTTTATGGCCCCACTGACACTCTCCAGGGAGCTGGTACACAGTAATTATATGCCACTGGATGCCAGTGCCCTGAGTGCCGCACAGGCATGGGCCCGGGTGTCCGGCATGTTTCCCAGGCCTCCGAGTGCACCTGGCCAGCCCTCATAATTGATGGGTCTTCCCAGGAAGTCATTCCAGGGCCCCAAAAACAGTGGGGCTGGTGTGGCCCCAGGCTGAGCCGTCTGGGTGCCCTGCCCTTGGGCCGGAGCCGTTCCTCCGCCCTATCTGATGGGGACACCCAAACTCCCCTCTGACCTCTGGGCAGGGCCTTTCGGGGTCCATGGAAGCTCTCGTTCCCTGGCTTCAGAGTCCCTCGGCATGAGGGAATGGGGCGGGAGCCCGCCCGGGGAGGGGGTCGCTGCAGAGTAGGCTCGGGGGTGTGTGCAGGCCATGCCCTGCGGAGGTGCCGACCGCCCGCCCTTCCCCCAGGTGTCCCCTGGAAGCTGCACGTGTGGATCGAGTCTCTAAGGACCTCCTTCTCCCAGTCGCGCTACTCAGTGGTGCAGAGCCTCCTGCGGGACTTCAGCTCCATCAAGGAGGAGGAGTACAACGAGGAGCTGGTGACCGAGGGCTTGCAGCTCATGTTCGACATCCTTAAGACCAGCAAAGTGAGTGACGTCAGGCAGGTCCCCAACCCTGCGCGCCGAGCATGTTGGCTTCCGAGGCCCTGGCCCAGACCTCGCGTGCACACGCACACACACATGCACGCACACACACGCCGGCCCTCTCCCGCACACCCCACGGCCGGACTGCCACGGCCTGGCTGCAGAGGCCAGAGGCCGTGGATCTGTCGGGGCGGGAGCCCGGCCAGAAAAGCAACTTGGGGACTCCGTGATGGAGGCACGGGCATCTCTCGCCAGGCCAGATCCAGGAGGCACCGAAAGACGGCGGGTGCTCTGAGCCGGGTCTGGACTTCGGAAGCGAGCCTGCCGTGTCTGCGGCCACGGCAGGCGGCCAGGTGGCCTCACGGGCCCTCCCTCTCCTCTGCCCCGCAGAACGACGCCGTCACGCAGCAGCTGGCCGCCATCTTCACACACTGCTACGGCAGCAGCCCGGTGCCCAGCATTCCCGAGATCCGCAAGACGCTGCCCGCCCGGCTGGGTGAGGCCTGCCCCCCACGCCCGCGCCCAGCCGCCCCTCGTCCTTCCCAGAGCTCCATCCTGCCTCTCCTCCTGTTCCTCTCCACGCATCTTGGTCTGCTGCTCCCTGTTCCTGGTGCCTCAGTGTCTCTGTTCTCCCCCTGTGTACCCCCCCCCAGCCTCTCGGAATGCTCCCCCAGCACCTGGGGGGCCCTCGGTCACGTCCCTTCTCTCCCTTTGGGCACAGATCCTCACTTTCTGAACAACAAGGAGATGTCCGACGTGACCTTCCTGGTGGAAGGAAAGCTCTTTTATGCACACAAGGTCCTGCTGGTGACGGCTTCTAACAGGTAGGCCGCCTCGGGGAACAAGCCCCAGCCCCGGACGGGTGGGGGCGGCTTCGCGTGGCCGCGAGGTGACGCCGGTTCCGGGGAGGAGCCTCTGCCCCGCGGAGATGGGTCCCGCGGCCGTGGAGCCCCCGCCACCCCACAGGGGGTGCGGGGCAGAGTGGACCGAGGGACGGGACAGCAGGGCTGGGGCCCAGAGTCCCCAGAGGCGCCCTGTGGCGCTGTTCTTCCCGGTCGAGGTCTTGCTTCCGATTATTAGAAAATGTTCTGGAATGCAGAGTCACCTTCCAGGCCACAAGCATCACAGTCACTCACGGGGGGCGGTGGGGACAGATCAGGGCCCGGCCCAGCTGTCAGCCCAGGATGATGTAAGCTGCCATTTGCAGAGAGTTATTTTGGGAGCGGTGCAGTAATTTTAAAAATGCCCCGTCTCCCGGTGACCAGTCGGGTGATGGATGGCACCATTGCTGCCCGGGATGAAATCAAAGTCATGTGCAAGACCCGCCTTGTTTCACCCCCTTTGCTCCAGGTTCAAGACGCTGATGACCAATAAATCAGAACAAGATGGCGACGGCGGCAAAACCATCGAGATCAGTGACATGAAGTACCACATTTTCCAGGTGGGTGGGCCTCCATGCTGCGCGCTTCTCAGGGTGGGGGGTGGCCTCCCCCAGGGCCCCACGGCTTTGTCCATCTGGGCTGGGAGTTGGCCATAATCTTGCACTCTGTCCCCACTGCTTTCTGTGTTCACCAAACCCGTGGTCCGGTTGGAGCAGCAGCATCTGTCCCAGGCCACGGTAGCCCTTCCGGTGCGGGCTGACAGTTTTCAGAGCCTCGCTCATGAGTCCTGAGCTCTGACCACTGGGCGAGGGGCCTGGGCGGACGGACGGCAGACCTGTGAGGCCTGGCACCCACGACACGTGTCTGTAGGAGCCCTCGTTCCTCAGGGTGGGCTCCCCGCAGCACACACCTGTGCGTCAGCCCTCTGCCCTACCGCGTGCCAACAAGCCCCCTGGCGGCTGGCGTGCACACACTCTGAGGAGCGTGGTGTGGGCTGCACCAGTCCTCCTGAGCATTGGACCCCAGCCCGGCAGGCCCGGCAGGCCCGGCAGAAAAATCCAGCTGAGCCCATCCTGGTTGTGGAAGACCAAGGGTCGGGTCTTTCGGTCCCTCAGCTTTGGAGAACATCAGAGGTTGCGTGATGGAAAGTCCACAGGCTGGCCGCCAGTCGTGGCCAGAGAGTCTGGAGGGAGGAGCCTGGCTGGGGTCTCAGCCGAGCCCCGGCTGAGAGCTCCTGCCTGGGAAGTGGCGACTCCAGGTCTCCAGGCTGTGTGGTGGGCCCCGGGCTGCAGGGACGACCCCCAGGGGCTGGGGCTGAGGCTAGGGGGCAGCCGGTATGGGCTCCAGGGCCTGGCCCTGCACAGGACAGCTCTGTGGCCTCATGGGACGGATCAGTCTCACGGAAGCACAGGGAGCCCCCATCTAAAATGGCCTAGTTTCCCTTCATGCTGTCTTCACTCATTTACTATTTAGCACTTTGTCATCTCTGGACAGGGTGGGGACAGCAGTAAACAGGACAGGGCCCTGCCCCCCAGGAGACGGGACTCCGAGAGGGTGAGAGGTGTGGGGGCAGCACCGGGGGCACAGGAGGGGGGCACCTAACCCACAGGGCAGCGGCTGTCAGGGGCCGGGGCAGCCGGCCGGCCACAGGGGCTCCAGGCAGGGGGATGGTGCACGCCAAACTCCAGAAGAAGAGACCACATATGCTCCAGAACTGCTCTCTGGTCCAGTCTGGTTAGGGGTTCAGAAGACACTGCCCCGAGGAGCCATCGCATGAAGGGTTTGACCTTTAACCTACCGAGGAAGCTTCCTGAAAGGTCATCGCCGCTAACACTTAGCCAGGCGTGGCTCCAAGTGCTGTGCCCCTGCTCATCAGTTACGCGTTGGGGCACAGCACGGTCCTAGGAGGGGTAGGTGGATTATTCCGTCAAGAGGCACAGAGAAGTGAGTGACTTGCCTGAGGTCACACAGCTGGGAAGTGAGAGAGCCGGGATTCAATCCAAGGCTGTGTGGCATGGTCAAGTTCGCATTTACGGAGCTCACTCAGAGGGTGAGGAAGGACCCAGAGGAGCCACAGCTCCAGCCAGGGGGCCAGGTAGGAGGCTGTAGAGAAGTCTAGTCGTGTGATGAGGGTGAGCAGGTAGCGGCAGTGGGATAGGGGAGGTGCATGAGGGGAGAGTGGACCAGACCCAGGGACTGGCACCGGCAGCGGAGTGGGGGTGTCTCCGCTTCCCCCGTTTCCAGCCCTTGATTCAAACTCACTGGCAAGGGGGCAGCTCTAGAACCTTGTTTGGCTAAGAAGCCCAGCTTCTGGGTGAGCTGGAACATGAGGTGGGGTCACGGTCAGACACAGGAGGGCAGCGCAGGAGCGGCGGCAGGGCCGGGCGAGGGTGGGGGTCCGTGCGGGCACCCGGTGACCACGGCCGTGGAGCTGCCCCGCAGGGCTGCCCTCGCTCACCGGGAGGACGCCTGTGCCAGGGCGGCCTTAGCGGCCACGTGACTCATCAAGGCTGTGGGCAGGGCCCGTGGGAACACCAGGTCCCACACCCTGGCACACAGGGGCCTGGGCAGGGTGGGCCCTGTGGCTGTAGATCTCCGCCATCAGGGGAGAGCGCCGCTTCCGGGGGAGCCTCCACATGTTGACTCCTGCTCTCTGGGCTCCTTGGAGGGCTCAGCCTGAAGTCTTCGATCCCGGGCCAGAGCTTCCTAACAAAACCTGGATGTTTTAGAGCAGCTCCTGAGTATCTCCGTGGCTTTCACTGCACTGGGAGAGAGAGACAGACAGACAGAGACAGACAGATGAGGGGGAGGGAAGGAGGTCGGTCATTCTATTTGTTTTCCAGAGGAGGAAACCAGCCCGAGGAGATCTGAGCTGTGCCATCCAAGAGAAAGATAACACAAGCCACCTGTGTAATTTAACATTTCATAGTAGCCACATAAAAAAGCAAAAAGAAATGGGTGAAATTAATTTTAATAGTATATTCTTTAGCCCTTTATATAAGCCCAAATATTACATGCAGTCAATACAAAAATTAATGGCGTATTTTACATTCTTTTTCACACGAAGTTCTTCCAGTCCAGTGTGTATCTGACACAGCACATCTCAGCTCAGAGCAGTCTTACTTCACATGCTTGAAAGCTACACCTGACCAGCGGCTGTAGCATTAGTGCAGGTCGAGATGCTTGCCTGTCTGGCTTGACCCCAGTCCCACCCGGGCAGGGTCGGTGGCCTTCCCACACTCGGGTTCCTGGGCTCCTGTTCAGGCCAGAAGCAAACCGTGCGGCCCCTCTCCAGCTGACCCTTCCCCGGGCCTTTCCCAGAGCAGCGGGCAGCCTGCTGGGAGGCACATGACCCCCGTCCTGCCTGAGGGTTGCCGGGCTGGACAAAACCCATCTACCCAGCCTGCCGGCCACCCAGCTCCCTCAGCAAGCGCAAGGGAGCAGTACTGGTCTGACATCCATGGACTAATATGCATTCAAGTGACCTCAGGGAGCTCCACGGGCCACAGCTGGCTGCGCCTTGTCAAAACCAGCTCCTGAAAGGCAGAGGCTGGGAAGGGGAGCTGCAGGTTGCTGCCCACAACCCTGCGTCCCCTCTTGCTGAGGGGCTTCCCTGAGGCCATCTCTTAGCCTCCAATCCTGGGAGCTCCTGCCCACCCGCCCACTCTACTCGCAGCCCTGGGCCAGGGGCTCTTGCCCTGGCTCATCCAGGGCTGTCCTGTGGTGCGGTCCTGAACAGCTCGGAGCCCAGCCCCGGCGGGGCGGGGGGAAGCGGAAGAACCCAGGCCTGCGGCCCGCCGAGGCACACGCCTCCCGGAGGGACAGACGCACGGAGCACACCGCATGCTCCAGCAGGGGCTGCGGAAGGCCTGTGGGTGCCCCACCTCTCTGTGGGGGAGGGGAGGAATGGAGGTCTCGGGCACCGACCTTGGGCCTGGACAGACTGGCTAGGCCATCTCCGCACTCCCGTTCCCCGGAGTTGGGCTCCTTCCCTAGACCCTCCGGTGCCTCTTCCAGCCCGGGGGCCCTGCTAATAACAGAGCCCAACTGTGCCAGCGGGAGCCGTGTTTACTTACACACTTGCCAGCTCCTTGCTGGGGCTGTTCCTTCAGCCAACCAGTGCGAACCGCTTTTCTTTTTCCAGCAGGGAACTTCCCGGCCTCCAGTGTGATGGCAGAGTTCGTAACTTAGACCTCAAAACCGTCATTCCCCACTCCTGGGCCACCTCATTTGATATCTGGGACCCCTCTGTTCCCAGAAGCCCCAGGCAGGTCTGGGCCAGGCGGTGAGGTGACCTCTGGAGCAGATCCCGACCCTAGCTCTGTGCTTGCCGTCCAAGGGAACAAATCCAGGGGGGAGACAGGGTCTGGCTCTCACCTCCACATTGGAGTCCCAGCACAGACGGGGAAGTTGGAAGCAGCTTCTGAGGGCAGCACCCCCATCCCGGGCCCATATTTAGAATGTAGGTGAGAGAAATGTGCAACGTGCCATCTAGGGGTCTGGTGTGGGAATCAGGAGACCCAAGTGACTCAAGCCATGCTGCCTTCCCCCACCCCGGGCCTCAGTTTCCCCATCTGTGAATAGTACTTTTCTTTCTGGGCTCACTGGGCTGTCCTGAGGATCGGAGTGGAGCCACCCCATGGAAGGAGGCCTGTCCTACACACAGGTGATCAGGAGAATCTCGAGGCTGACTTCTGGAGACTGCACAGACACAAATAGTAGCCTCAGGGAGTTGGGGGACGTGCACGCGTCCACCTGCGGAAGGACGGAGGGCACAACCAGGCCCAGGGTGGAGAGCGGCACTCTACTGGAGGCAGATGAGGACACAGGACCCGTGGGTCCGTTTGGTGTTCACGCGGGGTCTCTTCTCGCCACAGATGATGATGCAGTATCTGTACTATGGAGGGACAGAAGCCATGGACATCCCAGCCGCCGACATCCTGGAGGTGAGGTCCCGGCGCTGGGGCGAGGGGTGGGAGCCTGTGTGCCCCGTGCCCAGCTGCTGGCACTCAGGGACAGGGCATCTGGAGAGCCAAGAGGGGAGGTGGCCTCTTCCAGGACCTCCTGATTCCCTGCTGGTCCTTTCTCTTCCTGTGACAGGAAGGGCTTTCGCCCATCTGCCTCCTGGGCCAGGCCTGGGGGAGGGGGGGAAGGGTGGAGGGATGATGGGCCCAGTAGGATCAAAGGCAGCCCAGCCTCGCCCTCACCTCCTCACTGCCTAGAAAGCCGACCCCCTGCGGGCCAGGCGCCTGCCTAGAAGGTCCGGGAGACAAGGAGCGCAGCTCAGGGTTGAAAACCTTCTGAGGTCAGGCATCCCATCCAGTGTCTGTCCCCTGTCCTGTGCCTTCCAAAGTGTCCCAGCAAGTCCCCAGGTGACCTAGAACAGAAAGAAATCAGTCCTCAGCCTTGACTTGCGACGGCGGGCAGGGCCCCGAGGATTAGGAGAAACCAGGGCCCACGGCACGGAGCAGCCTTCTGTTCCCCGATGCCTGGGCCATGGGCCTGCTGCCCGCATCCAAGGCCATGTTCCCTCTGCCCCCCAGCTGCTCTCGGCTGCCAGCCTGTTCCAGCTGGATGCCCTGCAGAGACACTGCGAGATCCTGTGCTCTCAGACCCTCAGTGTGGAGAGCGCCGTGAACACCTACAAGTACGCCAAGGTGAGCGCCGCCTGCCGCCTCCCGCCGGCTCGTTGTCCGGGGCTGTGCCGGGCCAGGCCGAGGGGCCGTGGAAGGGGTGGAGGGGGTTAGTGACGCCCTCTGTAGCTTGGGCTCCCCGCTGCTCAGCAGGGCAGCCTGCAGCTCCGGAGCGGAGCTTCACAAGCTGGCCGGCCTGGGCCAAAGGGCTGAGCTTCTCCGAGTCACATCACTTCCTTAGGTTCGTACTTGATTTTTTCCCCCAACCTGTCCTTAATTTTACCCCCTCGGCACAGCCGTCTGCTCAGGTGCTCGGGCTCAGAACTTGGCAGTTACATATATATTAATTTGCCCCGCCTGGGCCGGCTCCCTCCCTGCGAACACGTCAGCACTCTGTCCACTTTCTTCCACGTCCACTGTGCCCACCCTGTCCCGAGCCACCATCACCTCTCCGGACCATGACATTGACCCGGCCTCCCCCTGCTTGGCTGTCACCTGCAGTTTCCAGGCTCTTTGACAAGCGTTAAGACCATGCCACTCCTCTACTTCAAGTGTCCCTCCCACGAAGCTTCCTCTGTTTGCAGCCGAAATACCACGCTGGCCGGCTCCCAGGACCCCTCCCACATCTTCCACGTGGCTTACTTAGCTCACACTTACCCCACGGCTCTGGCGATAACTATCCCCTCCCCCAGGAAAGCGCAGGCCTGCTGCCTCCGCTGGCCTCTCCCATGAGGCACCTGCCACTTTCCTCACAGCACTGACCACCGTCAGCTGTGACCTTACTTGGTTCTCTGGCTTCTCTGTCTCCCCCAAAGTAGAACATCAGCTCTAAGAGCACACTGCAGAGACCTGGCCCCCAGAACTTGGTGCCCAGTGCCTGGCCCGGAGTGGACACTCGATAGTTGTTGAGTTAAAATCATGACTGAGCATCTACCGGGTGAACTGCTCAGGTGCCCGGCTTGGGCTGGGCTCCCTGTCCCGGGCATTGGTAAGGAAGCTTCAAACCAACAAGGGTGTCTGCCAGTCAGTAATGGCAACAGTGGGAAATAGGCAAAGAAAATGATGGGGCCAACACAGTGATGTTCCTGGTGGCACAGCTGGGATTTGAACCCGGAATAGTCCCATCTGGAGGAGAGAATTATGGAAGAAATCCAGATAAGGGGAAGGCCCTTGGCCCCTGGGTGAGATTTGGGGGCAGGGTGGGGAGGTGTGCAGTTTCCGGTGGGGCTGTGCGAAGGCCGTGGCTCTCACACTCCCCCGCCCCCAACAGATCCACAATGCCCCTGAACTGGCCCTGTTCTGTGAAGGCTTCTTCCTCAAGCACATGAAGGCCCTGCTCGAGCAGGACTCCTTCCGGCAGCTCATCTACAGCCGCAACAGCAAGGTGCAGGGCCTGGACCCCCTGCAGGACCTACAGAGCACCCTGGCCGAGCGTGTGCACTCTGTCTACATCACCTCTCGGGTCTGAGGGCAGTGGGGGCGCAGCAGGGCGGCACAGCCTGCCGCCTTTGGGCCGGGGCTCTGGCTCTAGGCATCCCTTGGCGGGGGGGGGGCGTGGTGTGAAAGGCTGGGAGCAAGTGCTCCCAGGGGCATCTGAACAAGTACATACCTGGGGCCTGTGGGTGGGTCAGAGCCCCCCTGTGGGGGTGGGGGCACTGGTGAGCCAGGCTCATGGGACTCAGTTTCCCCTTCATTCTGCAGACACCCTCTCCAGTGTCAGTCTGTCCTTGGGTAGGCTGATGTGCTCTGAGCCCCCTGTCACTGGGCGGCCCCACCGTCAACCCCTCAGCCCCAGGGTTGTTCGCCTGAGTGATGGGCAGACAAGGCCAAAAGGTGGCCCTCCCCCCACTCCTGACCCCACACTGTGTGCACCTTGAGGGCCACGGTGCACTCACCGCCGTGCGCCCCTTCTCCCCTCCCGGGGGTCTGGGGTTGATCCTGATTCACCCCTGCTTGAACTAGCTTCTGACCATTCATTCATTCCAGGCTCTGACCACCCACAGTCCCCAGGCCTCCCCAAGCTCAGACTGTTCCAGCTGGGGCCCTTGGCGGTATGGGCATCCTGACGGAGGTAGAGAACTTACACTCTGGGCCCCAGGCCACTTCCTGCCGAAACTGGTATTTTTCCTCAAGGTCACATCAGAAAGGCTGCCCAAATCCTTGAACTTCTTCCTCAAGGCTATGCCTTTGTGATGTGAGCCTCCAAGGGCCTGAAGATCCCTGCCCAGAGGGTCACTTACAGTCCTATTTTCTTTGGTGTCTAGGCCTACAGAGGCCGTCCTTTGGAGGAGCACACCCCTGCTCTGTTAGTGCGAGAAGGCGGTTCCCCCAGCTGACACCCTGGGACTTCCAGGCCGAGCTGGAGGCGGCATGGGGGTGCCCAGGGTCCACGGACGAGTCTGCTGGCCGCAGCTTTTGTTCCTGCTGCTTCTAGAGGCCAATCCTGAAACCCCAAGCCTAGAGTGAGGCTGCCTCTGGGGCCTCGGGAAGCAGACTCCCCCGTGTCGCCCTGGCTGGGTCTCTAGAGCAGGGCACTTCTCGTGGGAACCGCGGGTCCGGGGGTGGAAGGGGTGGGGCGGTGGGGGGAGCAGAGGACCTGCCGTGGCTCCTGTCCTGCCTGCCGCGGGCCCAACGCCTGTCGTATTTACGGACCAGACACTGGGGTGGCATCCGGACAGCTTGTGCTGGGGGTCGCCTTCTTCAGGCTGTCTGGCTGCACCTTAGAAACTATTTATTCACCAAGAGCCCTGGGCACTTCAGGAGGTGTCACTTTGGTTACCTTGAAAAGCCCCCAGGGGCTTGCAATCTTGGAAAATATTTTTGACTAGCTGCTTGAGCTGGATGTACAAAGGAATAGGCGTTATTTTATTGCTGTAATATTGTATGATACTGTAACTGTACATTAATGTCACTTATTGTAAATGTACCAGGGTTTTATTAACAATAAACACTTGTTAACAATGACCTTGGCCTTGTCACTCCTGCTAGGGAGTTGCTCAGAGCTGGGGAAGAGAACCCAGGGCTAATTCCCTGGTTACTCGGGCCTCCAGCCCCAAGCTGGGACGGACGGACGCGCACACACACACACACGCCTTACTCGGGCCTCCACACACACACATGCCTTACTTGGGCCTCCAGACAGAGAGAGAGAGAGAGAGAGAGAGACACACACACACACACACACACACGCGCGCGCGCGCGCCTTACTCGGGCCTCCAGCCCCAAGCTGGGTTAGGACTCCCCCTACACACACAAGGACTCCCCCTGCACGCGCACGCACACACACGCCTCCAGCCCCAAGCTGGGTTAGGACTCCCCCTGCACGC